CCGTCAACCTTGACTCAACCACAAGACTTAACATCCTAACCTGCCACAAGTAAAGCAGGAAGACTACATCAATTAATGTCCTGCTGCTGTAAAGGTTCTAACACTCAAAAGATCAGCACACACTTCAGACCATCCTCCACCAGGGGGCGCAGCATCCCCTCCAGCCTGTTGACTCCATACCTAGAAAAGGCAGTGGTGAGTGGGTGGGATAGGGCCCAGCCCAGTGCCCCCCCACACCTGGCTCCCTCTGCAGGGCAGTTGCTTTAGGGGCACTGTGAGCAGGCTTGATGGCAGTGTTTTCTACCCTGAGGTAGCTGAAGGTGATGGAGCATTCCCAGTGGGACCCTTCCCGGGGTGGGCAAGTGTGTAGCTGTAAAGAGGAATGATGCCCTGGGAACAGCCCCTACAATAGCTGGGGACCTAGCCTGAAGTCAGACAATGCACTGCAGATGGCTCAAAGAAATGCCAGCTGGAGATCCTGGGACCAGTGCAGGGAGGAGCAACCTCAGGCCTTATCTGGGGTCTCCAAGAGGCAGGAAACTACTGAAGAGTTATCTGCTGTGCTGGGGATGTGGAGGGAGCTGATCCCTGCCCAGTCTCCTCTCCAAGGGCGAGCAGGCACTGTCCTTGGCCACATTTATCTCAATGTTCCTGCTGGCCAGGCTGGGCCCCCTCTGCGTTGACTTTGCTTGCTCAGAGCAGGCACAGAGGCACTGGGTGAATGCACGGAGAAGGCAATTAACCCCCAAAGGGCATTGGCATGACAGAAGGGCAACTGAGGAGCACTGTGGCCAGGCTGGGCAAAGAGCAATGGGTGCTTTCTGTCCCAGAGAACAGTAGCCTAATTCCCCAAGCCCAAAGGCAGGCATGACAGTGTCACTGCTGGCAAAGATCCAGCTGGCACTGCCCTTGCTCAGGCCTACCTCCTGTCAGCCAGGTTCCCTGGACCAACAGGCAGGGATTTTATTCAGCAACCCCCGCCTTCACATTTCCCCCAATCCCTGAGTCCTCCCCTCCTCTCCCCACACCCTTTTTTCACACAAAACAGGCTGATAAGGGGAGTCACAGCAGGGCTACCACTAGCCCAGCAAGGTCCATAGCATGCTCAGAGACAGCTTTCTTCCAGGAAGGAAAGGGGAAACCTGCCTGCTGCTGCAGCCCTGTCCTTCTGCTAATTCTGGAGCTGCCCTCCTTCCTTCCCAGGATATGGAGCATTTGAAAGAACTGGTGCACTATGTGAACTCAGAGTAGCTATCCCAGCGCTCTGCAGAAAGCGTTCCCACTTTGGCTGCACCTGTTCCACTTGCAGCTTCCTGGGAGGTTTCTGGCCCCCTCCAAGAATCACTCAGGCAGCTGGGATGATGCGCCAGCAAGGCATGGCCTGGAGCTCTGTCGTCCTTGGTCACACCACACTCTGAGGCACAGAACAGCTGGTAAGAACTGGAATTTCCTAGCAGGAGGGTGCCTCCTTCAGCCTGTGCCCATCCCAGGCCATGTGCCAGGCCCTAGCCCTTGTGGACAGGAGCATTACAGTGAAACCCTCCTGGCTCACAATGAATCTCTGGAGGCTCCTACCTGGCTTGTCCAGGGAGGCTGGCGATCGGCTCCTCTGCATCAGGGTTGTCACTGAAGGCGTCATATAGAACAAACAAGCAGTCAGCATTGGACTCCAGACAAAGGGAGGCCAAAAGAAGGGGAAGCCCAGGGGCATACATAAATTGCTTAACCCAGCCAACGTAAGAAGCTGGGCAGCCAAGAGAATGAGTTGGAGCCAGGCCTCAACCATTCCCTATCTGGCTGCACCCAGGCCCCAGTACAGAGAGCTCCAGCCCTGCCACAGAGCCAACAGCTGCATCCCTGTGCTCCAGAGAGGGCCTTCTCTCCATGACTTGTGGGCTAGCCAAGAGTTTCTCCATCCAGAAAGCAGGAACTTGGAGCTGGCTCCAAGGTGTCTGAAGGAAGCTCATTAGAGAGCAGACCAAGCCACACACACAGGGGACACTCTGCCCAGGTAGGGAAAGGGCTCTTCGTTCTGGACTCAGACCACTGATGCCTCAACCTACTTCTGAAATAAGAGGTGTGGCACTCCAGCCTCCCTGATGAATTCCAGGCCCCATCTCTCCTTTGACCTGCACATGCAACATTCAGGTGCTTCGTAGCTGGAGAGGCCCCAACCTATAGCATCAGGCCTCACTTACGTGACAAAGATGGGGTAGATGAGGTTAGATGCATCAAAGGCAGTGGCTGTGGTCTGCCAGGAGCGCAGAATGGGGTGGAAGTAGCCGCTGTGGAGAATGGAATCTGCCTGCATCCTGGAAGCTGAATCTGAAAGACCAAGAGAAACAAGAGGGTGCATCTGAGCAAGAGCTGCCAAAGCCAGAGATGGAAAAGACCTGTTCCTGGCAGCCTGAGCAAGGCCATGGTCCAGGGGACAGACTAGAGGCAGCCCTCTCATAAGCACAGGGGGTCTATGCCACAACTCAGGTGATGGCACTGCCAGGAACCAACTCCAGCCATGCAGCCTGACTGGGAGAGAGGCAGCATTGCCAAGTGGGCTGTCGTGAAGAGACCTGCATTCCAGAGAGACCTTCCCCTCTTCGTGCCTCAGCTTCCTACCTGAGAAAGCAGGGTTTGGTGCTGACTCACTCCTTCAAAGCACCCAGACTTCCATGGATGAAAATACTAGTTATTAAACTTCCCCCATGTATAACCACAAACCAGCTCTCAGCACAGTGATGCTGTGCTGGACCCACCATGTCAATCATGTACAAGGCATCCCAGGGAGCATCTGCAGGCACCTTCAGCTTGAAGAACACCTTATACAGCATATTTGAGGACTGCAGGAGTCATGCCAAAGAACCAGGCTGTGATTTTCTAAGCCAAGTGCACTGAAGCCTCCAGGTAACACACAGATGCTGCTGGGAGCTCCCCGCAAAAGCTACATCATGCATGCATTAAGACTGCCAGGGCTGCCAACTGCTGTGTCACTTGCACAGCACCAGGGCTGCTGTCTTTCTGGTTACTAGGCCAGGACCCTTCTGCCATCCTGGGTATGCTAGTACCAAAGTTTTTCAGCCCCAACTAATTAGAGGGGTGGGTCTCAGAGAGCACATTCTCCCTGATTCCTCTCCTGCATCAACTACAATGGGTTTTTAGCACAGATGGCTAGAGTGACAGTGCAGCAGAACTGCACACTGGGGATAAAGCTTGTGACAGCAGCTGCCAAATTCAAGCAGCAAACAAGGCAGGAAGTAAAGAGCATAAGAAGTCAAACAAGGTGATGTGTCGGGTCTAAGGCCTGTAAAGTGGCCATGGTGACAAGCAAGCCTAGGTACCTGGGGGAACCTAGCTCTCAAGCTTTTCAGGGGGATAAAGCACTAGTGTCTAGCCCCACCATAGGATTTCTGCTGTCCCAGTGATATGGGCCCAGGACTGAGTCCTGAACAGCCTGGATGTCAGTGGCAGACACTTGTGAAAGCTGCATTTTGCACAGGGAAGGAAAAGGAACAGACACAAAGCAGCTGCTTTTGATCCTCCAGACCAGACTCCAACTGGAAGAGGCTTGCTGAGAAGAAAGGTCCTTAAAGAAGCTGGGAAATAAAGGCTGCATGTTCCCAGAGACAAGTCACTTTGTAGCAGTGCAGTGCCTCCTACTGCGATTACCACAAACAGGAACCCCTGAAAACAACAGCTGGAAGGGCGCTTGCTTGTTGAGAGTAGGTTCAAAGGCTGCAGCTGGCTCTGCAGAGCCATACCATGCATGCAGGCCTGCAAAACCTTCAACCACTCAAGAGCTGCAGTGGCATAGGCAGGGCCCTGTCCCCTCTGGCATGGCTATGTCAGGAATTTGGCTCCACCCCACTGCCAGCATGTACCTATGCATCTGGGGCAGGACATCAACCTGACCTGCTCCAGATAAAGCCTTTGCCCTTCAACTGCCTTGGCCCCAAACAGCCCTGAGATCCAGTGAGAGCAAGGCTGCCAGTGGCTGCTGTGGGCAGCACTAGCTGATTCCTGTAACCGCAAAAGGTATCCCTGCCCAGCCCCATCACACTTCTGCTGCCACTCAGTCAGCCCCCCGCCCGGTCTCCAAGGTCACACTGTCTGCAGCACCAAGGGGAGCTCTGGCTAAGAGCCTGTGTTGGAGAAACTGGGGGCCCCACCAGTAATGCAAGGGGAGCTGGCAAGGAAAACTGAGAGATCCTCATCAAAATGGAAGTGTCTTATCAGTTTTATCCAGGTACCCATCACTGCAGTGTCTGAACACCCTCACCTGTGCCATGCAGGAGGCTGAACTGGACAACCTAAAGGCCTGTTTTTGGCCTGAAGGAGAAGGTTGGATCCAAATATGCCTGGTCCCAGTTACCCTCCCATGCTGGCCCCAGTTACCTGGCTATACTGGCCCCAGTTAAGCCCTATGCCTAATTCAGGTGGCAACATCTGACCTGAGTCCTGCTAGAGTTACTGCTGCCCTTCAGCAACTGAACAGCAGCTGTGAACCTCATCAGTCTATCCACTTTCAATAAGTTGCTACAGCTTGGAAAGGACCCTAGCATCAGCAAGGCCTGGTCTGTCTGCAAACTCAGGCACAAAGTTCTTTTTGCACCTGCAAGGGTGGAAGTAGAGAAAAGAATAGATCTAAATTTTGCAGAAATGGCCACCTCCGGCCTCCATGCCCTCCCACTCCCATGGCTCAGAGGTACACAGTCATCTGGGTAGATATGCTGAAGAACCGTAGGCAGGCAGGGGTCTTTGGGTAGACGTGATATCTTTTATTAGACCAACTGAGCAGTTGGAAAAAAGTTCTTTGCAAGCTTTCCAGCACAACGCACCTTTCTTCAGGCATAGGAAGTCTCTGCTGTTGTTCTGAGATCTCCAAGGAATGAAAGAAGCTAAAAGTGTGACAGAAGGTCAGTAAATACGTGCAAATTAGGAAAACAATGGGTAGAGAAGGGAGGAGGGGAAGGGGAAATAGTGGGTGAAGGAATGCCAAAGGTAAGCAAGGGAGACTCAGCTGTAGTTGAGTTCTCTAAGGTAGAAAAGAGGCAGTCTGTGAAAAGTAAATAGCTGAAAATTAGGAAGACAAAGGGTAGAAAAGAAGGGGAGGAGAGGGGTGGAGGCAGGGAGTGTAAATAGTAAGGACAGGCAGGTACCTCGCAAATCAAACGTCAGGCAAGTTGTAATGCGTCATAAATCCCATGTCTATATTGAGTCCCTGATTTGTATGCAGTAAATTTATGAAGAGAAGTTTGTAGGGTCATCTACAAAAGTGTTTTGTAAGAGCCTTAGGGGAATATGACAGCAATCATGCAAGCCACTGGCTTAGCCAAGAATCAGCGCACCAAAGGAGAGTTTTCCTGATGATGCATCTTCTATCCATGGTGCTTCTAGGCTAGGACACTGTATGCTTGGCAACAGGAACCACCCATAAAGTATACCACCTTATCTTTCAAGTAACCTGTGGCAGGGAAGGTGAGGTTACTTCACCCATCTTAAGTACTGGGAAAAGTAAATTAGTGTTTTTAAAACCATCTAATTAGGGTGAAGGTGACTGGACAGTTATGAAGTCAGAAAGTGGGGACGGATGAGACCTAACACTATCAGTCCCAAAAGCATGCTGCCCTGTTCCATCTATTCCAGAGGGAGCAGAAAGATAACATTTTGTTCTGTGTAATCTATGCAGATAACCTGCTGTCTGTACAGACACATTTAAATTACGCTGCAGACAGCCACCCTGCTCCACCCTCCGCTCACACGCTTGATGTAGCAAGAATCAGTTTGGCGGGAACTGGCTGAATAATCCTTATAACAGATGGGCCTGTGACCCACTCTGCTGCAGATCAAGGCAAGAGTGAAGCACCGACAACTTGCCTGGGCTGCGAGGGCTCTGGGTGGGATGTTCTGATCTCCTCAGTCAAGGAGGAAAACAAGATTTGTTTGTGCCCAGCACAAAAGGGCATCGCATCAGCCCACCCCTGCAGGGTGAATAACCTCTGTGTTGACAGTGAATCACAGGCAGAAGTCCTGCAAGCCAAGAACCAGTGGCTAGGAGCAAACAGGGACAGGCAGGTCAGGCACGAACTCCTGAAACAACAGATCAGGCCCAAATCTACCTCTTCTCTGCAGGATTGGGGTGAACTCTTTCATACAGACCTTGGATACAACCAGGCTGGGGACTATGACTTAGCTCAGCTGACTGGACTCGCAGGCATCCCACTGCAGGTGGAAGTGCTGCTTTAAGGCCAGAGCTGCTGGAGGTGGCCGGCTTCCTAGCGCTGCTCGATAGGATGGCAGGATTACCAGAGCCCAAGAATGCCAATTATCCAAGAGCAAAGCAGCAGCTTTTTCCAAGCTAAAAAAAAAAATACTGGACTTCTATCTTGGCTCTCAGCCCTGCCTGCTCAGCAGAAGCTTTGGTGAATACTATTTGCACCCAAACTCTGCCAAACATTAACTACTGCTGCCTTGTTTATGGGCACGAGATGATCCACGACCTCCTTCGAGCTGAAGCTCGTTCCTGAGAGCCAGGGAGCTTGGAGGCTCCTAAGAGACGGACAGAAGTCCTCGCCCGCGTGGCGGGGGCGGCCGGGAGGGCCAGCGCGCGCAAGGCAACAGGCCCACCCAAGGGGAGAAAATGCGCCTGGTGGAAGAGGCAGCAGGGAAAAAGCAAGAGGGAAGGAGACGGCGGCTCCGTGTCCGGCTCCTCAGGGCGTTACGAAAGCACCGGCAGGCTGCCCAGCCGGGGTGCGCGCTCTGCTCGGCCCCGCACGCCGCGCCGCCAGCCTGGAGCGAGCCGAGCCG